TGGAAAAAAATAAAGAGACTAGAAGTAAAATGTTGCAGGCAAAAATAGCCAAGGGTTTAACTATCATAAACACCCCGTAACATGAAAGGATTATCTGTGTGCGATTTATACAACTGCAAACTTGATAGTACTACCTTTTGGAATTTAGTCTTTCCTTGATCTCATTTCTATATATACAAAAAAAATTTTGTTAAAAATAGTTTTCATATTTTGTTAAATGAATTTTTTCGTCTTTCACTTTTAAAATGTTAATTTTTATCTTCCATACAAATTCAAGCTAGCAAATTTTCCACTCTTTCAAGGAAAAAATTAAAATTGGTTCACATCGAATCTGAATTTCTTTTAGAAGTAAAAAAAAAAAATAGACCGGACCATTTATTTAATAACAAATGGAATCTAAACTTTTTATTCCAAAAAAAAAAATGCATGTCACATGATGGATTTAAGGTAAAACAAGTGTTCAAAATTTTGATCCTATCTTAAAAGTAAAGTTACTATCTTAAAAGTAAATGGTTGAAAAAACTTTATTTGACAAAATATGAGAAATGTTTTTAACAATTTTCCTTAGTTAAGAACTTCAAGCAATCCTAGTTCAAGTATAGGTGACCTCATTCTACATGATAGGGACAACTTTTACCTAACCTATCATTGTAGTTACTTGAGTATGATATGCTGTAATTTATGACGAATGAGCAGTTGAAAATTAATAGCAAGCGTGTAAAATTGAATTTGGGAATTTGCTGTTAGCACAAACAATTCCAAGAAGGTGTGAGTCATAAATGCCTAAATCCTATTGATGTTGGGCCTGGTGTGATTTTTAGATAGGATAATGTACATAATTCTGACTTTCATTACTTGTTCAAGTTGGTGTTAAAGTTTTGGGTTCAATGTTACACCTAAGACCCTGGATTAACAAGAAGTTGAGAAGAGGCAATGGACCTCATGCAGATTAAGCTCTCTCCAGGCCCAGATTGGCCTGCATTAAAAGGACTTATACTAGCCTTCTGAAATTCGCATGGATCAGAGATGTGTGAAAATCACTGAGCTCGCGACGCACCACGCACTCTGGACTCTCTCGAATATGTCATGGACTTCAGTAGATACTTAAAGCGGAGGCGTTCGCAGCTAAAAGATATTGGCTCGTGGGCTGAGAGATGTTTGTTGCTCATTCACCGCCGCCACCACCATTGCCCTGAGTCTCAGGGCCTGAGAGTTGTTTGTGTCTAATCTTTTATGCAAGGCTGATTTATTAGTGCCAGCTACAGCCTATAGTAAAAGAAGAGGAACTTTTCTTTTTCTTTTTTCTTCTTTTTCTTTTGTGTGTGTGTGTGTGTGAAGACAGGGACTATAGTAAGTTGTTTTGAGTGTTTAAATCTTCCGGGTTATGATTATTGTTAACATGATGATTTTCATTTTATGCCGCCATGATAAACTCATAAACACGATACATTCATTAAATAATTCTGTAACATTCTTACCACAGCAACAGAATCAGGGTAATTTAATGATCCTAAACACCTTCTAATCTTTTTTTTTTTTTGTCAATTATCATCCCTATTCCTACTTCTACTCTAACTACGGAGAGGCTCAATTGAGCCTACGAAGAACCGATGGGGATAGAATCACCACCGGACCAGACGGGTGCACTACGCACCCGTCTGGATTTGAAGTAGAGCCACAAGAGTGGCATTCCAAAGCCTTAAGGGTTTAGTGGTGGCTACCAGCCCAAGAGTTGGTGGTTAAACACCTTCTAATCTAATAAGGGTAAATTAATGACTCTTGCCATATCACTGATATTCCGATGTGTTCCGACGATCAGTTTTCTGCATGTGAAAGACAAGACATAGAAGTGTGGTTGTGCACTTGACATTCTGCCCTACTTGCTTCCAAAACATGAATGGACGTGTGAACTAAAATGAGAGAACTCTCTATTGCAGAGAGGCTCTGCAATTATTTTCTCGTACCCTTTTATGAGTCTGCATTGTGATTGCTCTGTCATCCTAATCAGTAGACTGTTTGGTACATACAACTGAGGATCCGTTCATACTACTTGTGATGCATATTTGACAAAAGGGGAGGGACGGGTTGAGTGTTTCAAAAAGAAAAAGAGGGAGTAGGAGTGATAAGTTCGGTATTCGAACCTTGCCACTGCCATGCCATTGACACTAAAAAGAATGCTTCTTTGAGACGTTGTGTGGCATTGGCAATTAATGTAGAGGTAAACATGCAGGGGAAAAAAAAATTCTTAGATTTCTGTTTTTGATTTTCATCTTTGGCTGTCATTATTTGCATTTTACATTATATAGTGTGGTACCCAATAAAAAAATTTTTTTTTTTACAAAACCTGAAGTTTGAGCCTTCTGTTGTTGAGTTTTCACCGACAACTGCTGTCCTGTATGTTTCATCACATTCTATGAACACAACCTGTTGCTGCTGAACTTCAGATTCTTCATCGGGGATCTTTTTTTTTTTTTTTTTGGCCATTTCTAGTTTAATTCTACTAGTACTAAAGTATCCGCCATTTTGGGTGGATAAGATTTGCTAATTAGGCGATACAGTACCCTCATGATAACAAAAAGAAGGCGAAAGTGTGGATATATGTTCATCAGCAGTATTTTAGTAACATATTTATTCTTGCTTTTGTTTCAGACTACTCAAGTATCATAAGTTCATAAATTGGACTGCTATTTTCTATGGAAAAATTTTTATAAATATATCTTTTAATCATCTTTTCGCTTCACACACACGTCAAATAATGATTACTATACATTTTTTCCGGAGGAACCGACTTCTGCACAGAAGCCAAAATGGTCATTTTTTGGTGGGTTCTACTTCTACTTCTTCCATTGGATTCATCATGTTCAGTGTTTTGCATTTGGATTTTCCTTTTCAAATAATAATAGTCTCTCTCTCTATGTGGTGTACTCTCTGCAGTACATAATTTTTTTTTTTTTTCGGAGACGACAACTGTTATATAATCTAATTCATTCTACACTAAGGGGGAGGGAACGGATCTAAGAAGGTCCAGAAATAATCCAGAATGAACTAAATCATCATCGAACCAAATGGGTGCAATACTAAATTTTTTTTTGAAGCAAATCACTTAAACGTGACCAAGTTAGGCGGTGGCCACCAGCCCAAAAAGGCTGCACAGTACATCATTTGGAGAAGGAAAACCATCGCCAATCTGTTACCCCCGGGCCACCGTACTTGACAGCCACCGAGTTAGTGCCTTTACTGCAACACCTTCATGATTGAATTACTTCGAGGAGTGAGATTGGGTTTACAAAATAATAATAATATTATATGAAAAAATATTTTGTCTTGTTAAGGAAGGGACTGTAGAGTTTTACTAGTTGATTCTTTCTCTGACAGAGATTACAAGTGAGAATAAATAAAAACATATAGCGACAGCGCGACACTAGTATTTAATATTAACATTGACATCCAAAAGCATGAGAAGAGGATCGTGAAAATGCTTATACCAATATATATATCATGATTAAAGGCGCTAATCACATCAACCATTGCAGATGATCAATGCTGCCCCACACTGAGCCCAAAGGTGTTCCAAGTAACGACGAAAAGCTCCTTGGAGTCTGTCCGGTCCGGCCACCATAAGATGAGATGATGGTTCCAGGAGTCGGTCAGTGCAGCAAGCTTGCTTCGCATCCAGCCAATAAAATCAGCAGGGCCGATCAATAATTTATTCATCATCTATGTCACAATCGATTAGTACTATCATACTAATCATCATTAACATTTGTTAGCAAGTTCCTATCAAATGCACTTATTTAATGTCACGGCAAAAGGCAAATCATGGTAGTGAATTCTTTTTCTTTTTATTTTTTTATCTTTTTCCTTTAAACAAATCCACGCGGCCTCGCTCGCGCCGCCTGCCTAGCTTCCTTGTTTGGCAGGCAATTCCCACTACTAGAAGTAGAGTCGGGATTTAAGCTTTTGCAATTTTGACCGGATTTTTCTAGACCCGATTGTTCTTGGGTGTCGTCAATATGCTTTTGGACGTTACTGCACAATTTGCAACGGATATTCTCGCACTCTTTTCTTTTTTGTTTTTACCAAAATTTATTATTGAGGTCGAGACCGAGACCCAAAAATGGGGAGCATGGAGGGGCCAATCAGTCCTAATTGGCACGTGTGCGCACAGTTATTCTTCTAATTTCAGGCTCTGAAAAAAAATGCGATTATTGCACATTTTGGAGATCGGATCTATTAAGGTGATAAATTACATCAAAATTTCAAAAATAAAAGTTTGTTCAAGTAATCAGTTGCTTAGACATACCGGTCCAGAAACAAGATTTGGTTGGAGTCTCCCAGAGCTGTTTCATGATTATTAAACAAGATTTGTCTATCTTGGTTCTTTTATTGTTGTCATGATCATCATCGTTATTTTTGTTATACTACTATAAGCATCCATATTTTATCATACCCCATTGAGTACTCTGAAAAACTTGGCAAAGACAATAAGACTTTTTTGTTTTGCGCAAACAAAATCAGTAAAAAAAATCTTAAAAAGAAATTATATATTTTTTTTAAGATGATAACAATTATACAACCTATTTTATCCTAAATTACAGGGGATGAGAGAATTTAAAGAGACTTGTGTTAAGAATTAATAGGTACACAAATCTTACCGGATCAAATGGTACTTTGGCATCATTCTTAGAAATTTTTTTTTTTTGGTTGCAGGTGAAATTTGAATTCTCACTTACAATCCTGGAGAGCGGGACTTTTTTTTTTTTTTTTTTTTTTTATAATCCGTGAGGGACTTAAAAAGAGGATACATGATGGTCCTGTAATTTTTGGTAACTAGGAGTAAGTATATAATAGTGAGAGGAGGGCTTGCCTCCTCAAGGCACCTGTCCTTAATTTCACGAGGACGAAGCTCATGTCCGCTCAAAGGTCACTTTCCAGCGTCCCAATCAAAGTGGTTCGTTCACCCCCTCCCCCTCCCCCAGCCTTTTAGTCTTTTTTCTTTTATGGTCGTCACTCAATTCTTCTTCCTCTCATTATACTCACCTCTGCTCCTCAGTCATCTCAATCAAATGTAACCTCGCACCTTTTTCCTTTTATACATTTTTTTTTTAAATTTCTTTGAATTATTCTGGGCTCTGGTAAAATAGCACCGTCTCTATTTTATTTTGAGTATGAAAAGATCATCATTAGTATCTTCAAAAGGTAGAAGCTTGAGGAGGGAGAATGGGAAGACGAACAATGAAGAAGTGGTTGTGATCGAGTGGGAGGTGAGGCCTGGTGGTCTGCTTGTTCAGAAGAGAGGAGCTGGTCCTGTAAGCTCTGCTGGTCCAATGATCAAGATCAAGGTTTCCCACGATTCTTATCACCACGATGTAACTGTTCCATCTCAGTCAACTTTCGGTAATTACGTACTGTTTTCGCCTGACCATCATTTGTTATTTTTAGTGTAGCTGTTCTTTCCTTTTAGTGTGGCGTTCCCGTGCATACGTGCTTCGTCCCTCGGTTCAATTTTTTTCTCATCTTTCTTTACTTACATTTTGAGAAAATTCTTACTTCCTTCCTTCAGCAGACTTTCATGAGCGTTCTTCATGATTTGAAATCTCATTTTCAGTATTGAAGTGTGGTGTTTTTAGCCAAAATTAAAAATTTTACTAGATTCTTTGCCCCCCGAAATTGTCCTTACTTTTTCCTCTGGGATCTTGAAATTAAGAAACCCAAGATTCTGTCCTTTTTTTTTTCTTCCTTTCCTTTGGTTGATAGGGGTTTTTTGGGGAAGTGATTATGTTTGCAATTCTTATTTCTGTATCTCTATATTGAATAAAAACTACGCGTGCTCTAATTGAAGGGGATCTAAAACGAATTCTTGCCAGTAAAACTGGCCTAGAGCCTATGGTGCAGAGGCTGTTGTTTAGAGGAAAAGAGAAAGATGATGATGAATGTCTGCATATAGCGGGCGTAGAAGACACGTCAAAAATAATACTTCTGGAGGATCCGGCGAGCAAAGAGAGAAAATTTGAGGAGATGAGGAAACACCAGGATCCAGACAAAGCATATGAAGCTGTTGCCAATGTTAGAGCAGAGGTCGATAAACTCTCTGACAAGGTCAGTGTTTATTTTTGTGCAGAAAACCTTTTGTTTTCATTTATAGAACTGAATTTCTGTGTGTTCTGTGCTTTAGGTTGTTGACCTGGAGAAAGCAGTGCAAAGTGGCAATGATATTGCGGAGAAGGAATTTGTAGTCTTGACAGAACTGCTGATGATTCAGTTGCTTAAACTGGATTCTATTGAGGCATATGGAAAAGCAAGAGAACAGAGGCGGATTGAGGTTAGTCGCAGCCTGCAATTGTGTTTCACTAATCAAGTTAATTAGCTTCTTTGATTCCAATGGTCATTTATGGGGACATATCACTTAGATTTTGAATTTGCATGTCTTCCAGTGCTGATGAGTTGTCGCTATTTACTACTGCTACTTTCCAAGTTTCCTTTGGACACAATAATATGATCTTCCATAGCAGGGAGTTAAATTTACCTTTTGCTTAGTTCATCCAGCCTCGAAATAAAATAATTTCTCCCACGAGAATCTTTATTATCATCTGAAAGTTGCTTATCGCATTTTAATCGCTTACAGGTGCATCGCGTTCAAAGTTTTGTGGACAAGCTAGATAATTTGAAGGCAAGAAATTGTATTCCCTTCAGCAACTGTGGCAATGCTTCTTTTGTGACTGCCAAATGGGAGACCTTTCATTCTGGATTTGGAAGCCTTACTGCACCAAAACCCTTCCATCATTCGCCGAAAGTTTTTGAGGACTGGGAATCATTTGACTAACTCGAGAGATGGTTTCTATCCTTGAGTTCCCAGAGACGGGGTGAAGGCTGCTGCAACATTTTTCAGTCTGAAATCCGATCAGCATATCCTGTCACTTTTTGGTTCTTGTAAGATGCTATTTCCCAGGGATCATCTGCTAGACTGTTTCTTATTCTGTGAGATCATGAATTTTGCCATCCTACAATGTGTTCTTTAACTGGTCGGAGCCTGCTTGCCTTGTGCCAAAGACAGCTGCATTCTGTGCATACTTTTTTGCTAATGAACTACTGTAAACCAAGGTTGGAACTGTCGAGGCTTTTCTTTTAATTCACTTAGATCGTACTTGTACCAACATACAGTATATTATTTGGATAAAACAGAAACCAGATTCCGATGAGAATACCTAGTACGGATCCATGTGTCCTTCGCTAAACAAGATACACGAGCACAAAGAAGTGAGAACACCAATGTTGAATTGGTAAAGAGGAAAATAGAGACGAGCTAGGGATATTCTTCTGAGGACAGCTATGCAGCCTGTTAAACAGAGAAACTCTTTGCCTCTTTCATCCTGGACTCGATTAATACACATGGCGAGGACTGAGGAGGAATAATAACAACAAAAATAAAAGAAATAATACCAACAATAATATATTAGTCGCATATCATAATAAAGAAATAATACCAACAATAATATATTAGTCGCATATCATAATAACGAGGGGTATCAAATTTCACTTTCTGAAAACTCACCCTTCTCAAGAGATAATAATAATAATAATAATATGACTCCTTATATCTTATTCCCTCCCTTTTTTTATAACTGACGTTTAAAGTTTTACACACCAATTAAGAAAAGTTTTTCATTGTTTAAATCTATACACTACTTTCCTTTTGTACCCTCATTAATTATCCAATTCACCCATATTTTCTCTCACTAGAGTATTAAATGGTACTGTTTTACTAAGCCAAAAGCAATGCAAACTAACTCCCACCAATTGTGAAAAGAGAGATAAAAGGGTAAAATTGTGAAAAAATAATTAATGCTGCATGGGGATAATAAAACGACAGATAAAAGTACTTAAGAGCAAATTTCTTAAACGTCAGTTATAAAAAAAGGGAGGGGGTATTTATAAACCAGACCGCCCCGATAGACAAGTCTTAACACCTTCTATTAATAAACAAGACACAAAAAATTTCCTAATCCTAATAGGAGTAAAATAGTAGTAGTAATTCTTAAACAGTAAAACTATTATAACTGACAATTATTAAAACCTTAACTTGACATCTTTCCTCTCTCTTCCTCTTAACTGTATGAAAATTATCAAGCCTTCCTAGTACTCTTCATATCTTAGGGAAGATAAATAGTTGGGCAGACAAACACATTTTGTGATTTTAATTCCTTGTCTACTACCTATTCATCGAGAATGATTGATGGCGTCTGTTCATAAATATGAGAGAGAGAGAGAGAGAGCAATAAAACGAGAAAGACGTGTCTACTGGTATGAATCAATGCGGTAACATTAAGAGGGAGTAATGCGGTGAATTGCAATCGGATCTTATTATTAAGTGGTAGTAATAATTACCAGTCGACCTTTCATGTTTCCTCTTCAGCGATAGAGGCGTGAGTTTTTTTTTGGCTAAAATAACACTTTTTCTAAAAAATATTTTCAATATAATTCACTTTTAAACTTTATTCCCATAATGATGTTATTATTGCCATCTAATTATCCTGATTTCTACGTTGGATAACAAGAAAGGAAAGTTTTGATCTAGTTTATAGTGTCCAGCATGAACTAAAATTTTTAATTTTTTCAAAACATAGAGGCACAAGAAGATTGCATAACTTTGATAATTTTCTTATAATTATTTAAAATAAATTCTACCATTATTGACCTTACTATGATTAGTCTCTACATTTTTCTTGAAATGTATCAAACCTATTGCATATATTTTTTCAAAAATTAAATTTCAAAATTTCAAAAATTGCAACAAAAATTGTAAGTAATAACAAGAAAAAGATACAAAAACTTCAAGGGTATCATACTTGTTTATATTATCCTTCCTACTCGTTGAAAAGAACTTTTACAAGATGTAATAAAACTAAAATTTTCAAATTTTCAATTGCAAACTAAAAATTGCTAGATTATTATATAAGTAATCAAAGGCAATGGCATCCCACTACTTGAAAAAAAGTCATGTTGTAAAGGGAAAAATGACAAAAACAAGCTTTTATTAAACTTTAAAAATGCAGTGAAATTCTGAACATCTATATCTTATGCAAAGAACTAAAAAACAAGATATTTTGAACTAAAAAAAAAACTTAGGCATAGTGTAATTACAATAAATTTGCAATTGAAAAATGTCTTACAATCATTGCCAATTGCAAGCAAATTTGAAATATTTAAGCCAACACTCTTGAAGCTTCCTTAAGTGTTCGCAAAGATGGAATGAATATACGAATGTCATTAGACAATCAACTAATCCTGTGTTCAGGCACTTCAATAATGCTAAGTTCAGACACATCATTGATCCTATCTCCAGAATAGTAAGCTCTATTTGATCACTGCAAGTCACATATGGAGAATGAGAAAAACAAAAAGGTATCACAAGTTAGAAGTAAAATAATAGAAAACTAAAATCCAAAAAACGTGCTTGGATGTTTTATGCTTAAATTGCAAGCTTAGAGTCTAGAGATGTGATCATGTGATAGAGATGCATTATATCTGAACATGCTCATGTATGTGGTGGAAATCAAACATATTGAGCATGAATCTATGTTGTTATGTAGTTTTTCTCCTAGACATTTTATCAAACACATGGTATGAGAAATCATTTGTTAGACAATTAATATTCAAAAATTTTTTGAACGCCATAGTAATGTTCCAAAACTACATAATAGAAAAGATAAGAGAATAATGTTTGTTTACCTTGATATTATCAAGGATGATAATAAAGTTTTGGATACTGTTAATATAAATATTAACTTCTCAAAATTATGTTTGACAAGGAAAAGATAATGAAATGAAAAAATATGGGAGAGAGAGAATTGAGAAAGATATTAGATGTAAAAAAGAAATAGAGTGTATTTCTATCTTTACTCTAACACATGTACAACCTATGTGGCAAAAAAAAAGATCATAAAGGTAATAAATTTTAAAATTATGTTACTTTGGGTATATGTTTTAGAAGGTGAGTTTTTTGGCAATAAACTCTAGAGGCGTGGTTCCAAAGCTTGCGAGAAATTAATGCCTTTTCATTGTAGGTTAAAGGGCGTGATTTTTGGACAGAGCCTTAAAATAGAATTTAAACCGCCAAAACCCTCGTCATCGTCCTCAAAACCTCAAACAGCCCAAACGGAGGGAGCGGCGGAGTAACATTTAAATCTTAATCATGGGCAACCTCTCCGACGTCGTATACCCCGAACTCAAAGCTACCCAAAAGTTGTCCTCCACGGGGAACAACTTCCTCATTTGGAAGCTCAAACTCGCCTTCGTCCTCACCGACCATCAACTCCCCCACCTCCTCAGCCCAACCAGGGAGGACCCCAAATGGCACGACAAAAACGACGCCGCCAAGCTTCTCATCCTCAGGACTCTAGACAACGATCTCCTCCTTGAATTCTCCGACTACCCCACCCCTTCATCCATCATGGAAGCCCTCCTCCACCGCTTCGATAATAGGCTGAAAGCCTTCAGAATTCTCCTGCTAAGGCGCTACAGGGACCACCGGATGGCCGCGGACGCCCACATTTATCAGCATGTGTTCAGGATGCGGGCTATGGCGAAAGAACTCGAGTATGCAGGGATCAAGATTCCTGATGAGATGCAGGCTGTGGCTTTGTTGAATAGCCTGCCGGATGATTGGGATGATGATGTGGAACGGTTGGCAATCGGGTTGGATGGAGCTTCCACAGAAAAGTTGAGTTTTGATTGTGTGAGCCGGCGGTTGAGGATGGTTAGCGATGTTAGATCGTTGAAAAAGTTAAACAATGCGAAGAAGTTGAAGAACAAATTCAGGGGTAGTTGTTATAATTGTGGGAAACGAGGGCACCACCAATCAGATTGCCCTGAGCAAGGTATATAATTTATCTTGGTATGACTGTCAATTTTGTTTTAAAACTTACTTAACTCATGATGTAAATGAAATTTCTTTCGAGAATGAATAGAATGGCTTTGCAATCTATTTCTATCTTTGGTGTCGATTTAGTGCGCAATGGTTTTGGACTCGGAATGCAGTGCAATTTAGTGGAGTTTCTCTTACTTTTATATGGCTTTGTCGAGCTGCTTAATCTAGTCCTTTTAGTAGCTTTTTTGATAAAGTTGAAGTGCTTAATTGCTTCCAACCTATATATGATGGACTGGATGAAGATGGTTTAACTCCCTGAAAATTGAACTTGTGAATACACTTGATATAGCCAGAGATAAAGGAATAAATTATTTAGATAACCTGTTGTGATTGGATACATTCAGCCGAAATGAACCCCCTTTAATTTTCTTTGTACTTGTCCATGCTCGTTAACCGGGAATTTCCTTGTCTGCATCACCCAACTTCCTTAAGCTTGTATAGTAAGGTTATTGTGGATGTCTTCACCCCTTTGGAAGTCCTAGCCCTTCCTCTTTTTGCTGATATATAACTATTTTGGAGTCAATGACCTCTTAAAGTTGTTTTATTTATTTATTTTTTGGTGCTGTAAATTTGGCATTCTCACTCTCTCAATGCAGGTTCGTCCAAGCAGAAAAGTTCTTCTTCAGAGATTTTCACAATCCCTGGTGCATCTGCAACTCTATCTGAAATAATATATCCTCAATTGAAGACCTATTTAAAAATTAACTGCAAGGGATCAAGATTTTCTATGTGGAAGAGAGAACTTTTTGATGTCCTCGAAGATAACCAAGTTGAATATGTCCTCAAAGACCTAAAACCTTCTGAGCCTACAGATGCTGCATCTGAGGTTGATGCTCAGCTTTATGATAAGTGGCATGCAGATGATTTCACGTGTCGCCACCTTATCCTTGGAGCAATGGACGATGATGTCTTCCTTAGCTTCCATGACTATCCAACTGCCAAAGCTCTTCTATATTCTCTTGAAGCATTCTTTAATTCTCCTTCCACTGCTCAAAAGTTGGTTCTGCTCAAGAAGTATATGAACAATCATATGTCAGATGATACACTGATTATGGATCACATTTTAAAGATGGACTTGATGGCACATAAGCTGAAAATAGCTGGTGTCAACGTCCCTAATGAGATGCAATCTCTTGTTTTGCTGGACAGTTTACCAGAGTCATGGGGGGACACTCTAACATTGTTGAATATAAACATGACTTTGGATATGGAGAATGGTTTGAGCCTGGATAATGTAAGAAAGAGGGTGAGAGATGCTGGTCAGATGAAAGAACTGATGGCTCAAGCAGATGACTCATTGTTCGATGGCAATGGCAATAGAAATACAAAGAGGGTTTTCAGGGGCAAATGTTTTTCTTGTGGACGGCCAGGTCATTACCAATCTGATTGCCCTGACCAAGGTATGTGTCAGCAAATTCATAAAGAAGTTTAAATTAGACATTTATTTCTATAATCACTCACAAGGTGTGCTTGGCTTTGGCATTCTATGTCTGCATCATCTTAAGTTCTATGTGTACTGTTTGCCTGTTTCGTAGTTCAAGAAAATTACGTGGTGTTCTTGTGTAATTGAAAGAATAGGAATTGATCCATTATCTTGGAGTCTCTGCATAAGCTAGGAAGTAGTTGTTTGCTTCCATCTATGAAGGTTAGGCATTTGTGTTTATCTAATTTAAGTAGGAGAAGAATTCAAATCGAAGACTTCCATTCTTCATACTTTCAGAGATGAGTATTAGGAATTTTCTCTTTTCAGCATTTTATTCCCCCCACCACCACCCCCCCGGGCGCCCCGCCTCCCTTTTCCTTGGGTGGTCGGAGATTGGTTGTGAAGGGGGCCAGGAGATGGGATTGTACAGGCTCAAACTGTTGTCCTCGTCTTTCTAGAATTCAGTTGAGAGATTTTGATTGTGGATCCCATTTACGGTTTCAGAATTCAGAGTTAATTACATTTCCATCATTTGCTTTCGAAGTTTTTTTTTATGCTTGTTTGTGTCTCTGCTTCAGATATCACAGGCCAGTGGATCCCAGCACATTTTGCTATGTGCTTGAAACAACTTCTTATTTGGTCCTATTAATTTAAGAAACATCCAGTGCTTTTTAAGGTATACAGGCATGGTAGAATGTATATCCCCTGCCGAATTTGTGACTTTAGAACTAAAGCTCCATTTTTACCATTGCCTATGATGGCTTTTGAAACTAGTGCAGAACTTGAAAACTAGAATCTCCCAGAACATGTGTATTTCGTTTACAGATTGGTAGGGTTTCTGGTGAGAATTTTGCAGGCCATTTTACTTATTTCAATTTTATCTTGGAATATGATCATGTTTTAATCTCTACGTTCTTCTATTATGCATGAATTTCAGCCTTTGGCTTTGTCTTGCAATGTAGGTAAAAGGTGAAGTACATGGCTGGTAGATGTTCAAGTGCCCTGTAAATGAGAAAATCTACTCCTTCAGATTTTCTCTATCCTTTTCTTGTGCAGTACATTTCAAGAGATGATTTTGCAAGCAAATGAGAAAATGCAATAGTAGACAGTTTACACTAAGGGTATGTTTGGTTCCCCATGGAATTGGGGTTTAGAATTGGAATTGGGTCCTAAATTCCAAATCTGTTGTTTGGATACTGCTTCGCTCACAGAATTAGAATTGAATCTGAATTCTATAGAAACCTAATTCCATGAATTGAATTCTTTACCGGAACAAAAGAATTCTAATTCCAATTCCACAACTAAGCGGGTCATACGCGGATCTAGTATGGATCAAAAATTAAAATTGGGTCAAGGATATTGGCACCCCTCTCTTCCTATCTAACTCACCGTGTTTCCTCAGCTGCTAGTGCTCTGCTCTCCACCATCACTTCCACCTGCAACCCTAATATTATCGTATTAGAGAAGTGGACGGTAGAGAAAGGAGCCATTATGGCTAAATCTTTCTAGTCTTGAGATTCACTACTGTCAAAGATTAACCATGATTCCGGCCCGAGGGATTGAGGTTCATTGGTTCACTCAAAAAGTGTTGGCAATCCGTGAAGAATTTCAGAACAGGGTTCGAGGAGAGGATTTCGACAAAATCTGCCACAATATTCCTTCAGTAAGGATCCTTCCACCTCTAAATCGTATTTTGATACAGATATGTCTTGAACAAAAGCTTTAATTCTGGAAGCCTTTCATTCAGTGATGTATTTTTCTCCGCCTTCTTCTATTTCCCATTGTTTTTGTTTAACTCCATTTTATAGCTTCATATATCAGAATATATAGTGAGTACTACACTTTTTATCATTTACCTGCTCCTTCCTTCCTACTCGAATCCATGTTCTGAATACTGTGAGATCCAAGCTGCTTTTCGTATTTACTACTGCAGATGATGCCAAAGAATCTGTAAAGAAGGGAATTCGCTTGAGGTGAAAACCTTCTGAAGTTTTTTGACCATGGGCTTATTTTTTGCTTATCTCTGCTGCAGATTGCTGTTAGTTATCTTGATAATTGATATTTTAACCTTTCTGGTCAAGTTGTGCATTTCTTAATGATTGAAGGCCTGCTTTTGTTTCTGCTTCCTCTCACTAATTTGTTCTATTGTGACTGGAGTGGGTTTGAATTCAGTTAGTTAAATTGAGTCCAAGTTGCTTCCTCTCACTAATTGAATTGAGGGTTGATATCAAAGTGGGTGGCATATGATTCTAGGTAGTCAATGAATTGTTTCTTGGTGGCGTAATCAGGGTAATAATCAGGGAAGGGGAACTTATTAGCTATCCCGAATAACAAGACAGAAATGAAACCATATCCATTTTATCTTTCATATCCATTTCTGTTCAGGTGGACTCGTTCTAGTTTTGTTTGGCTCATTTCTTGTCTTGTTCATCAGATGTCTAATGACAAAAGAAGTTCCTTTGCACCTGTTTCTCTGGCTCAGTATATCTGATGCTGTCTTCCATACAAACAAAAACTTGGTCCTTAAATTAATCCAGGATCAATAGAATCTTCCCTTGTACTACTATTATATATCATTTGTCTAAATTATACTACTGCTTCATATGGATTGCTGGTGGTAGTATTTTAGCTTCACTCTGATGGATTTTCTGAAAAAGTTTAAATGAATCAGAAATAAGAAATTTTTGGGTTCAATTCCACCAGAATTTGGTTTATTTCTTGGTCGGAATTCTGAATTTTTACTGGATTGTTACTGGAAATGATGGAATTGATGACCCACCCCACTAGTTACAATATGATGTAGTTTTGCAGCATGATATTTATACCAGTTTTCTTCATTGAAAGTGGTACTGAATTCAAGAGAACCAATAGTGCAGCAAACTTTGGCTACCGGACAATAACTTCGTACAACCATATAAAAATGTCGATAGTTTTCTAGAAACTAATTAAGTTTCAGCTTTTGTTGGTGGCTGGAAGATTCTCCACAGGCTTTTGCTGATGAAGGTGGAGTTCTCCACAGGCTGCAGGAAGACTTGGCTTTTGGTGAAGGTGGTAGCGCAGAAGTTGTCCCCAAGGTGCTTGCATCTCCATGTAGGAGGAGGAGAGGTCTGCCTGACAAATTTGCTGCAACATATCAAAAAGATTAGTAGAGAAAATATAATTTCTGCACGTAGTCCCTTTGGATGATTATAGTTAAGTGGGGAACAATTTATAGCATTTCTTGGGATCTAATGGTTTTTTTTAAATTGCTTTGCATTCTTTCTCAAAATTAAGGAGCTTTTGTATAAGTGCTCTTCCTGTATTCTATTTAGCAAGTACTTGACTGTGTGTGAATAGGTCATCTGACAGTCTTAAGTTTTGTATTTTCCAACATCTCCTCCAAAGAAGCTGGTAAATATTAGTACAAAGGTTCGGTCGTGTATTTATCATATTGTGTTACAAAAACAAGAAGCCTCGGGAATTTGTCTTCATGATTGAGATCTATTCTACATTTTTTCATTTTGTGGTGCACAGTTCTTTATTCGGTAGAGTCATAAATTTTACCCTACTCGATTATCACCAAAAAAGTCAATTTGTATATTTTGTCTTCTTTTTCACTATTTTCTTGGGTCAGGTAATTTGTGAGTAATTAACTGTCCGGTATTCTACCATGTTTTAAGAAATATGCTAGTGTCATTGGGGATTTACTTTTACGGGGTTGAGGTCCAGTTTTGGTTGGATGCCAATATCTATACCATACGTTGAACAAAAGAAGGCAGTCAGATTGACATGTCTCGCTAATGCTGTGCTTAGCACAACCTACGTCTGGAAATGGTCACCAAAGAAATTGATACAAGAGTGGGAAAAAATAAATTATTAAAGGCGCAAATTGGTTTTTACTTTTAAATCTTTAGTAAAAATTAGCTAAATATAAAGAAAAAAAATTATTATATAGAAAAAAGAAAAAAAAGAAAAATTTTATGTAAGTAAATGTTTCATGAAAACAATTCTAATTCCTAATGAATTCTTCTCTCATGCAAACAAAGGATTTGGAATTCCAAATAAATTCCGTATCAATTCTATGCATTTCCCAAACGAAAGAATTGGAATGACTTGGAATTCCAATTCATAGAATTCTAATTCTATAGAATTTCAATTCTAATTCAATTCTAATTCTATAAAACCAAACGCACCCTAAAAGGTTTCAGTCGAATGCAACTGTATTCTAGTCTCTAGTTGTCAAATTTGGTGTTGCTATGTGTGACTGTCAGAAATTTATACAGCAGACCCTGCACATCGGACATCCATTATTTCGCTTTTGCTCAATTTTTTGGTGGCATCCTTTGTCAAAGTGAATTTATAAATTTTAACCCGCCGTCTCGCTGTCTGGTTCCAGGAAACCTTCAAGGAAAAAGAAAGTTACTCCATTAGAAACAGTGATGTGTTACATTGGTAAATATTAGCTGTCAAAGTCAATGACAAATATGTAACATATCATTGATAAACCAAACAAAAAGTAGAGTTGTTAACACGTCAAGTCGAGTTTTTGGCTTTTGAGCTCAGCTCATTAAGTTGTCAAGCCGAATTTGAGTGTGGCTGGATTATTCAACAAGTCAAAAATTGTATTCAGACTCGATTTATTAAAAAAATTTTGACCTGTATGATACAAATGAATCAAGTTTGAGCTTGAGAAAGTTAAAATGTGTTTGAATATCTTATACAATATTAAATGGCTTTTGAGCTCAGCGCATTAAGTTGTCAAGCCGAATTTGAGTGTGGCTGGATTATTCAACAAGTCAAAAATTGTATTCAGACTCGACTTATTAAAAAAATTTCGACCTGTATGATACAAATGAATCAACTTTGAGCTTGAGAAAGTTAAAATGTGTTTGAATATCTTATACAATATTAAAAAAATTAACCAATTTAATTAACCTATTAATTGAGAAAAATTTCTCAAAATGTAAGATGTTCGGTTCCAAATTTTTTTTTTTAAAGACTAAATCCTAAACAATCAAGAGAATCTAATTCTACATAATTATTAAGAAAAATTAGACACACTAAATTGAATAAATATATAAATGAGCCTAAATAAACATAAATGAACTATTTGTTATCTGGGTTTAGTTTAATTCATTTCGAAAATGAGCCTAATTTGATGTTTAACCTTGACTTGTTTAAATAAACGAATAAGTCGAACTCAAACCTATGCTAGCATAGCAAAATCAAGCTCATGTGCATCGCGGTTCGTTTAATAGCTCTAAACAAAAATAATAGTTAACCATCTTTCTTAACAAGAAGTTAATATGTGACACTGGTTTACCGCAATAAACTTTTAACGGGACATTCGCTTTTGAATTTTTATGCCCGGGCGTTTACAAGTCACGATATCCTCCATTAAATTATCGGTGTTTCAACTCCACATCAATCCGTTGTAGTCTAGATGGTTAGGATATTCGGCTCTCACCCGAAAGACCCGGGTTCGAGTCCCGGCAACGGAATTTTTGCGTTTTTTTTGCGTTTTCGACACGATCGAATCAAGCTTCAAGACTTCAACTAAACACACAGTATAGGATTGTATTAAGCGCCTCTTAGAGCTACCTGAGACGCACCCGAAAGCTAGAAAGTAGCAAAATCAGCTGCAGCAGCTAGAAGGAGAGGAATACATGCTCATTATAAGTAGATGCTTATATCTCATTCCAATCAAATATAGTGGCTTGCCATATGTTAATTAGACAGTGGGGGTTTGTCGAAAGACAAAAACCAGCCGTTTCTTGAAGTATTCCTCAAATTCCTAAGAGGAACGGCTATAGGCCTACAAATATTACTGCATCAGCTGAGCAATGAGGAAAGAGGACGGTAGGGAGGGAGGGAAGGGGATGATGAGCGTCTCCTCTCTATGGGCTGTGCCGTTGAAGGGGAATTTAAAGCAAGCCAAAAGTGATACTGTACATCACAATTCAATAAATTGGTTGCCATTGATTTGAACTGCTGCAGCTGGTATGCTTTTTCTTCAAATAACATGTCATGGCTCTTCTATGGTACCATTTGAGTACTCGTAACCAGCCACATGGGAGGTTCCATTTGATAATCGGTTCATGCTATTGGAATTTGAGGAAGGGGAATGGTTGGAAAGAGGGTTGCCTCGTGAGTACCGGTTCTGTGCAGCAGTGCTACTTCTTGTGGCCTTGAGACGTGCTTTTCTGCCCTGCAGCCATGAAGTGCATTTTAAGATGGACTATAATTTCAAGAATTAATATAGAAAACTAAAAACTAGCCACCCAGGTCAAACAGATAAAAACTTGGAAAACATATGGCAACCAAAACAAGATGGCCAGATCAATACATTAATGAATTTAGCTTGAATTGATTTGATAAGAGATCATAATAGAACTTGAAGGACTACCTTTCCCATGCACTTTTCCAGATGAGGAGCAAAACGTCCAGCCATAATTGATCGGCCACAATTCATGCAATCAAATATTTCATTAGCTACAGGAGGATGTGTTTGTCCAAATATATCAAGCACATATTTGCTAGTCGTTTCACCACTACTACTAGGGTCTGCTACCCTGGCTCGAGCCTGTGCTGATAACCTCAGTTCTTCTTCCTCGTCATCTAAACTACGATCAAGTCCCAATCTTGCTATTCGGTGACATTCAGATGCAACATCAACAATAATAGAATCCAGAAGTTCTCCAAAAAATTGAGATGAAAGCTGCCAATGCAACCAAAAACAAGCTAGCCATTAGTATCACATCACCTAAATCTTGCATATCTAGGCATTTAATTGGAAAACTAAGAGCAAATAGAGCAAGGACAAACAAGTAATGGGATCTCGTTCGCATAAAACAACATTTCCTGCTAAATGCATGTATATTGCGCAAGCTCGGATTTAGACGTCTTCACTAGCAAATATGCATAAACGGATACATACAACCCCATCAAGTCATCAACGAGCACTTAGTCATAACTTAAAAGGTGGGAGAATGTAGCACAGGAATGAAGGAAGGAAATAGGTGTCAAAACAATACCATTAAAAGAGTTGATGAGGAAGTCAGACCATTCCATTAAATCTAAACGAATCAAGAGATGGGGGAAGAATTACATCCATTAGCAACATCATACTAAAAGTAGAATTCAATATGGACCATAGTTACCTGAGAATGAGAAGACAGATTATCCTCATTTGGTGCTGCCATGATCTGCCCAGAGCTCTTGTCCTACTATCCTATATCCTATCAAGAAACATTCAATAAATTAAAAAAAAAATAGAGAGAGAGAAAGAGAAAAGCTTCAGCTGGTTTATGTCATAAAGTTAGGTTGGCTAACAAAAGGGGGGCAAAAAAATGCTGAATCAAGTGGAAACCGAGTTTACCCGAAACTACAAATTAGGGATAACAGAAAATCTAGGGCAACTATGAATATAGGAAGAAACAAAAAGACAGAAAAGGTGAAAACAGAAGCCATAATCACCTATTTAACAATCCTTCCGAGAAAATTTACTTTTCGGAAAGAGATGTTCCAAGGGTACTGGATAAACAATAAGCAATGATAATCATCAACTCAGAACTGAATTAAGATTTCCATACGTGCTTGAATTTTATGTTCTTATTTCTAAAAGCGAAGAATTATAAAGCAGTAATTGGAAAACAAAATTCCAGTTTCGTGAAAGGAATACTTACAAATCAATACGGCGTCGTGTCTAGCTTATGAGTTCGGGGTGAGGATGGTAGGGATTGCTGGCACCTCTTTTACCCCGGGACCGAAGCAAGGGGTCGTGGATTTGGAAATGTATACGGCGTCGTTCTAGTGTATGAAGTCCTCCTTGTTCCACGCAACGACGCGTAACACGTTATCTTAATATTCGTGCTTGATAATAGTTGCATTGACGTGATTTACTGCCTTTTTTTTTTTTTTTGGTAAGACAAGTTTAGTTTGGATCATTACCACGGATTAGAACATACTTCTAAAACATAAGCCGCTTGTAGATATTTTTATAGATCCCTCGTCGACACAACTCTCACATCGATCGCGAACACATAACTTTTTCTTAGTAAATAATTCTTTCTTATTAATTGAATCAATTTATGTTGACACCTAATTTTCTTTCCTAGGGTCTCATCTTCACAATTGCTCCTTAGAGATGGCAAATGGACAGAGTGGATAGGATTTATGTGGGACTCAAATAAAATTGAAAAATATGGACATTTTCTCAAACAGTCTGGTAAGGAAGAGGTAGACTTGTTAAAATATGAGAGTTATTTTTGGTTTAAAATAATTACAAATTTCTTTTTGATAGAGAAAAATTATTTAAGTTCAAAAATAATAGGTTTGGAATCTACATTGGGACCCAAAAACAAACTTGTGAGTTTGTGTAGCAAACTGCATGCTCCATATATGCGCAGTGAATTTAAACAGCACCTAAGGGACTTCCTACTTGTAGAAGGGCCTCACAAGTGAATGAATTATATTAATGTGTAAATACAAT